CTTTACCTCGGGTTTTGAATAAATATATAGTTCTGCTTTCGACTCTCCGTCTTCTCCACCATCTCAACTGCCGTCGATCAATCCTAATCACCTGCTTTCTATCTCTGATTTTTGCAGGAGCACCGTAGTTTCTTCCTACGTACTTTGGTCGACCTCCGGCAACGTTAACATTGGAGAATTACTACTGGAGCAGTCTTTCCGCAGCACCTGGAGTCTATTACGTTTATTGTGGACTGTGGACCTTTGTAAACTCAAGTAATCAAACTTTAATACATTCTTCCCGTAACTAAACTCATTTGGTATTTTATTTTCTACTTGAATTTGGGTAACTAAGCTAATAGAGTGAAAAGGTCCACCACAAGTCTTCATTCAGTACAGAGAGAATGAAGTCTATTCCCTTCACACATATTTACAGTCTTAAAGTACAAACGTGAATGAAGTCAGTTGACTTGTAAAGAATAAAATGTAAAAAATCCATCAATAAGTTTGTGCTGTCGTTTTCTTTTTCGGTTAAATTGTCCATCGTTTTCACAGTGACTTGCAGAAGAGTATGGATGCCTGTTCATGATGAATGAGAGCATGTCTCTAGTGAATGGGTTATGAAGCAGTATTGAGAGAATTCACATCAACGTCAGGAGTGATATATCGTTATGGCTGTGCATTGAGCATCACAATGGGAGATCACCGAAATTGTGGAACCACAAAGCTTTTACTGCAACTTATTGTCAGTGAGGCTTGAACGCATCCACGATCAATACGTACCAATTGGTCCACTGACGCCATCGGTCCAGTTTACAGGTGACTTGTAAATTATTCCACATTGCCAGTTTCTTTCATCATTTCACGAATTGGGTATCCGCGATATTCGTGACTGCTTTAGGAAAATACTTTTCGAAATCACAAAGATTGGTTGCTTCCTATCTGAAGGTGAATTTCCTAAGTGACCTGTTGATTGTAGAGAAAGAATACTAGAAGCACCTGCACGTGTTCTTTTACTGTCTGTCGCAAAGCACATCATACAGGTAGATCATAAAGTCGACCTTATTAAGTCGATATTATCTATATTTGTGTTACATCATTGGATTGCATTCTTAGATTTGTTGAAGTCCACATAAAACAGTCTGAATTGATTCTTTGCACAAAAATTACTTCTTGTCTTTTCAGCGCTTTCTAAATTTCACGTTATATCATATATTCTTTCCTTCAGTGTGCATTCTGGATGCACGTCGTTCATTAAATTACCTACCTTATTGCGTACCTTCAACAAGCTTATTCAACTGCTTTTATGTTAACAATAATGGATATGACAACTCATCACTCCTGATACTATCCTCTTTCGTGGAAATAATTGTGTCTAGGTGTTTCTGTACAGATAAGGGAAATCAGTTTGCCAGAAATAGCTTCTTCACTGAATGACTGTTCTGTTATTCATTAAAGCATAGTCGGCGACTGACTGACTGTTCATGAAATTCAAAAGTTTCAATCAAGTACTTGGTAAGTAGCATGAATAGATTTTACTCGGATATCAAGACGTACAGAACTGTGACTGTATATATATTTTTTGATTGAGAAATCACCAGATGATACTTTCTGCCAGACTACTGCTAACAGTAGTACTTTTATTACTGATGACAACGCCAGTACAAATTATTGTTCATAATCACATCAATGTACTCAAGATATCTAGGTACATTGAGTCGTTTTCAGTGATACGGTCATGCATAATAATCACCCAGTTTTCTGTATAAATTCAACTTCAATAATTCAAATTGAGTACACAACGCAAGAAATGAAGAAGACAGACCGTTGCATTGAGAGAGATTTCACTGTCTCGTGTCGACTAGCAATAATGATAATATCACATAATATAGAGATATACACACAATGGTTGAAGAAGACAGAAATTAGTCAAGAGATTGCATATCGATCCAGTACCACTTAGAAGTAGCCATTATTATTTAATATAGATGTTCATATTAACAAGGAATTAAGCGCAGCTAAAAAGAATACCAGAAAAAGAACAGAGGTTTAAATATTGTTAAGGAACGTAACCTTAAGTTCCTATTGCTACGAAGAAGTTCCAAACCGATAATTACTGTGACCGATTCTCGACTCTAACTCCAGAACACCAGTGGTTGTTACAAGGAAGTTGTATTATTTGGCAATTAAAATCGGGGTGAGTACACAGTCTGTAAACAAATGCTTTACAATAAAATACAAAGTTATTTTAATCCTATTCATTTGTCTTCATCGAACTTGTATACGATTGAACCATTCGTGCCTTCGAGTTGCCCACCAATGGCTACCAGTTCCAATAAATGAAGGTTCAATTTAAACTTCCATTGAAAAAACCGAGTGAGGTATTAAACAAAAAGGTGGCTTATTTCACTCAGAAGTCAGTCAGCATGAAACGTGTCTATTTGGCTTCTAATTTCAGTGTGATTAATATTTTCTGTTCAAATATCCAAATTTATTATAAGTAAGTTATTGACATTCTATCACTGCATATACTAATTAACCTCTGCTGCTTGCTTTTGTTTACCATCTTCTCCTGCATATGTCAGCTGGAACACTATTTTCAGTGGAATGTTGTTTACAACTGGCAAAATTATGACGTGACTTTTGCTTGGATCTCTTCCGCTTCAAATTTTCTAATTAGTCATTACAATCAACTTGTTCTGTGTCAACGAGGATACAATGCACTCTGCGTTCTCACATTTCTTCACTTTTTCAATGATGATTTAATAAGTATTAAATTACGCTAAATTCTGCTCACTTTGATGTGTAGTGTTTATCTATCTATCTATCTATCCAACGGTTTCTGAAACTATGGTGTGCAGTATGTTTTTAGAATGAGATGTTCAGTGTGGCTGTATTGACACTGGTGCAACTGAATTTGAGGTCTCCGTTTTATCTCTTGATCTGTAGAGCTAACACGTTCAGATTGATGTACAATATTTATTGCTTCAGTCCGTTAAGTGTTTGTGTTTCACTGTGATTGACATTATGTTACGGTCAACTGGTAATTGATAGTGAAATCTACAGAGTGTGAGACACCTTCATTCGGCTATTTGACGGCTTTTCAAACATTTAACAGACCGGTAGCTCACATTACCATGAAACCGGTGGCAATGTTATGTATATGACAATTACTAGTAATGACTGTATTTTTTCCACTACATGTGGCGGCACAGATTTTAACGTAAAGGTTGGGATTGGGTAATCAATACGGAAATCTGCTGGTGACAGTGTGAAGAACAAGACAAGGATGTTTAACATTAAGGTCGACTCAGGGTTTTGACGCGTGTGTCATGAAAAGAATTTTGAGCACGCTGTAGACTTTCATCAACAGTTACATTTGGCCACCACTGAAGATCAAATGGCCAGCTAGGAAGGATAGGCGACAAAGAAATCTAGCAAAAAGAAACAACCAAGTGCCTATTGTTCAACAAATATGCAAAAGAATATGGGGATGGAATCAACACATGCCTACGAGTCCGTTGAGTGACATCGCACCGTTGGCGCTCGAGTAAGAAGCTGAATACGAATTGATTCGTCCGCTATCTGAATGTGATATGGAAGAAAGCCTGTGAGATTAAGATTGAATCAGTCCTGGAGAAATGTGAGAGTATCTGCTTTGGTCATTTTGAGCTGATGATTTACTGCTGGCATCTCACATCCCACTCGGATTCTAAGGGAATAATGATAATGAAAGGCAAAGACTGCTGCGGTACAACATCTAATGTTCATTTCAGACTATGCCTTCTGCAGAGATGTGGATCAATTTCTATGCAGAACTCATGATGAAGCGAAAACAGCTAGGGACAGACGAGAAACCAGAAAGTAAAAGAGATATATTTGTCCTAGTTGGGAAGTCTTCAGCTATGTGCGGACGAAAATCAAATCTGCGGAATTTTTAATGAATGTGATGGATATGTTAATTCACTGATCTTGAATGCTTCTTTACTACTGAGGACGACTTTGGGTGATGTCGCTTATAATGTGGCAAGCCATTGGTTCTTAGCATGTCGGAGACACACAGAGAATATAATCTACACCTGCTATGTGATTTAAATTGACAGTCGAATACGCCAGGTTTTGATTTACCTCCCATAATAATAATATGTTGATGAAATGAAATGCTGGAGTTTTCCTAAAAGTAACTACATCGACTAATCTTATCAAAAATTGTCTAATACAATTATGATTAATGAATAACTTGAAGCGTATTACATATCGATTTGTATTACTGGTTAATTGTCATAAATTTTATTACTCATACTCGTCAATAATTATCACCATAATCATCCTCGTATCATTGAAAGATGATATTATCAGCTCAAACATTATAATCTTTTTTCTATGTATTCGTTGGAAAACCATTCTAATATTGTTCTAATAATATTGAGATAACTTGACCATCATCGCTAGGGCTGTCTAGAAATGACTTGAAGTCTGAGCATGATCAAAATTATCTGAAAACCTATTTGTCGGCACATTTTTCATCATTGGTTTCAAATCTTTCTGAAGAATTCGAGGCCTTGAAGTGGAATCTCGTATCGTAACTAGCAAATCTGCTCTGAAGTGGTTTCAAAGTAAACAATTACTGTTGACATTCATAATAGTCAAATTTAATCACATCGAAACAATTTCGTTCAGTTTTATTGATTCTTTCAGAAGTCTGACGACACAAAGATAAATACATAAACATTTAAACATCTGACGAGTATACTCAGAAAACTCGTCAAACTTGAATTATCCACTTGATATTGTCTCACTGACTTATTTTTCTGAGAGTTATTGTCTCACCTAGCAGACTTTGGTTAAGAAAAGGACAGCCGATGTTACTTCATCTAATCAACACAAATAATTCAAGTAGGTGGAATATGGTTAGACGATGACTAACAGCTTTTGTGATTTCAAATCTGATTTGATACTATGAGGTGTCTACTACTCAGTGTATTGCTGTCTGCTCTGGTCATCGGCATATATATATGTAAATGAATACATATTTTTATCTGTTCAAAACAAACTACAACATGCGTCACTTCTTACTGTTCATCACAAGTTTCATTCTTCTTCATGTTCAACAATCCACACAAGACAGTGAGTTTCATTTTACGTTTCATGATCATTTATGCATTAAATGTACACAATCATCTAATTCACCTAATCTAAGATATTAAACTGTTCATCAAATTATCTTATAAGTTGTTCAGTTTTATTCACTACATATCAGATAGGTATTTTGGTTGAAAATGAGCCTCACAGAATATAAATAACAAAACGCGGAAACTCTATTTTTGATGAAGTGAATTTTTGTTTTTCTCGCTCATCAATTGGACCGAAAAGTTTGGTCTCTGTTGACATGACGGTTAGCAATAAGGACGCTTGAATGAAGATCCGCTACTGACAGGATGTAATTTAATGGATATTAATCAGCAGCGGAGTCCGGGATGCCCACTTCTTACTATAAAAGAGTCGTGAGCAATCCCAAGTGAGTGGTTGTGTGTTCCCATCGCAACAAACACACATTGTTTGAAATCCCGAAGCGTTAGACGAATATTGGAAGTTATCCAGGATGTAGAAAAAGTAGATTTCAGGGCTTAAGTAGCCTAGAGGATAATGCTTTGGCATTCGAAACTACAAAGCTGAGTTTGACTTTCTGTAGGAACATTACCACCTACTGGAAATCGCAGTCACATCCAGCTAACGAGTCCAAAATAGTCACCATCTGCAACTATAATCCAGTTGTGTTGTTATGTATTACCAAATACTAAAACATGGTCACATACTGGAGGCAATTCAGGAGAAGGATTTTTTGAATTGATTTGAGGCGTCCGTGGTGAATTATTCTGTGGTTTACAAATAGCTTTATGACTGAGAAAATTTCATACTTTAGTTTTAATAAGGTTGTCATTATTTTTGGGTAACTTTCATGTAGCGTGTAGTTATCCCCATTTATTGAATCATGACTGATAGTCATAGCCAGATGTAAAAATTGAAATCAGTTTATTGAAATTTGGAACCACAGACACTTTGAGTCAAAGTTTAGAGCTTAAGCCAACGACTCACAAGTTAACAAAGAGATTTCCGTACTGCAAAGAACACGCATGGTATTTGAGCAATCAATATTTTTCGGAAAATTTCAAAGACAAAATCACATCGATGTATGGTGATTGTGTATAACTCCAGCGTCAAGAATACTCTGATCATCTTGGTTTTATGCTTAGCGAAAGGCTAATTGATAGGTGTCAAATGCAGTCGACTCCTCACACATCTGAAAATTGTTTGGAAACCTAATCTGCATGCATAAGCCATTGTAAAAGTTATCGTGATTCTAAGTGTTCTCAACTACTTACATTTTACTACTATAGAAACTGCAAACTTCTTACTAACTTTGTCTTTTCTCATAGACTTACATATGATCAAGTCGAAAATATCGTGGATAGAAGACAGGTTACGTTGGAATGAAGGTAAACTTGAAATAAGCTATCAGACAGATGTATATTTATAGCATGAATAAGCCTTCAAGATTCTGTATTTATAGTATTCACACTACCAAATATGTGGAGGGCAGAAGTATTTATAGGCGCTAAGTGTCTTTGACTTTGCATTCTCTTTGTTTGAGCCTGAGTCAAATAGCCGTATTGTTCTGTTTTCGGAGATGAGGTTGCTAGCCTCACGCATAGCCTCCCTCTTTACCCAGCTCTCTACCCGTCATGGGAGTGCGTCAGCCAGGAATCGAATCTGAACCACGTGAGCGATTGGCGAGTATGTCATCACTGAACCACTGGCAGTGCAGTCCACATGAGTATAACTGCTCTTTTTATAACAACAGTGATACACATGATAATAGACAAGTTGTCAGTCATTTGCACTATGCAGCAATAAAAGTGCCTCATATTACCTAAATTCAACTTGTCATCTATCGATAAGGCTACAAATAAACATAGAATCAATCAAGTGTTATTTGAAAATGTAAAGTCTACTTCATCTGAACTCCGTCTTATCCTAACAATTTAGTCAGTTTTCGGAAGAACAATGCGACTTTGGCTATTGTGGAGAAAGCGTTACACAAACAAATAGGTAATTTTTGAATGGTTATACTTTTGCCTAATTTTGACGCTTAATTTGACACTACTCACCTAGACTAATTTTGCTTTGCCTAATATTCACATTACCGTATAAATGTTTATGCCAAGCCAAATCACTCTTAAATAATCTTGAAATCAACATTTCGGTTTAACTTGAAATGAACTAAATCGCAGTAAAGCAACATTTGAAGTGAATTCCAATGGTCACTGGTGATTGACTACAGGATGGAGTAGTCTACAGTTCCAGTGAGGAATCGCAACAAAAGGAGTCCACTTTGTTGGTTGTCCGGTAGGTTAATCGTCTCGAGTACAATTCGTTGTTCATAATCATATCAACTTATTCACACAGCCTTATCATTTGCTCTACATAGATTTCTCCTCATCCTCTAGTTGTTTACTGTAATTTCCCACATATCAGGTATAGGAGTTGTGTCATTTCTATTGCACGTGTTTGGTTTCGGTCCAATACATCTTGTGTGTTGAAAGTTTAATCACCAAACCACTGTTTATTACTGCCCTGTAATATTTGGTTGTGGATCGTTCCCGAACTGATGTCTTTTCCTGACCAAGCTTGAAGTCGATCGAATCGCCGAAAATCAATAGTCAAAATAACTCTACATGTGTGTTTCAATATTTCCTCTTCAGATTATGAGCACGCTGGACACTCTCTTGATTACTACCTTAGTTCCAAGAGGAATAAAATGACCAGAACATCTTGTCATTTATTGGTTTCTCCCCATTCTGAAGGCTGTCAGTCTAATCTGAGACATGAGAACTTACTGGATCAGCTCACTGACGGCCTTCTTTCTCGGTGATCAATAGTAAATACATCTAGTTACAGATCATTTGGTTCAATTCGTGCAATAGGAATAACAGATGTTAGTGAAAGTATTACAGCTTTACTAAGGCTGCTGCCAATGCAGCAATAATAATGGGAAAATTTCCACTTATCTTGGTTGTTTTCCCTCATTGATTGATTTGTACCACACCAACATGCTCGGTGACTTTTAATATGGCGGCTTCTAGTACAGATGCTCCGAATAAATCTGAAGGTTAACACAATGCTATTTGGCTGATGGTGGTTAGCATAGAAATCCAGAATACGCAATTTTCTCAATTTCGGTCTTGTTAGCTAGCCCACATCTCATTCTCTGAAGGAGACTGTAAACACATCATTCAGACTAGCATCAACAATCACGATACCTGTGTTCAGGAGGGTTTTGTCAGTTGGAAACTAACATTTACAATAACAGTGACCTAGTGGATAACACTTTGGGTGTGTTCACGTCCTACCGAGAACATCGTCAGTCACTAGAGAATGCACGCACATATATCCGACAAAACCTGAATAGGATGAAATGCGTATTATGGACTCGTCGATAAGCCACCGTCAATCAGATAATATCTCCATTTCTGTAATTCTGCATTTTGTCAAACGAAGCGCACAAACTACTTAATGAAACAATAACTCATTTAATGCTTTCTCTTTTATTGTTTACAGAAAAAGTCAATACTAAACTGTCACTTGTCGGATTGTCTGTTGATAAACGTCAGTTATAATCTACAAATTATATCACACTATAACTTGAATATTTAGATGTTTTTTGCAAAAGAAAAGAAATGGAAGGAAAAACTGGAGTCACACTTATGCAGAGTACGAGCATTTCCTATATCTTGTTTTGTGATCATTTGTGAACATGATGCAGCCCCAAAAGAACACTTTTATTCTATTATTCATTTCGTTACGCACGAATGGACAGAGGGATGCAGAGATTAGGAATTCTGAAAGACAGATTACGGAGAACGATGATGTGTGAACGTGGTTTGCGGGTAGAATGCCCACCAGCTAAGCACTCCGTCCGTGATTCAATTTCCAGCCAACATACTTCCCGAACTCGTCTGACTGGCATTAGGCCTGATGAAGAGGAGAGGTTGGACGTGAGGCTAGCAACTCCACCTCGTAAAAGCAACATCAGTACTACTGGAGCTTCAAAGACTATGGTCTGATGACCTATACTCCACCTGGAAAGCGAAATATTGCTCACAACTCTATTTCAAACTTATCATCACTTTTCCACTCAACAATTCGCTTGAGGCCTGTAATTACAAACTGGAGTAGATGATTCCCTGGCGTACACTGAAACTGTAGACTGTTTTACATACGAAACCAAGGTGTCCAGATTTTCGTCAAACAAGCGAGAAACAGCCACGTTATTAGCGAGTTTGTCCAGCACTGATAACGTGGTGAATCATCCTAAATTGAGTAAATTATTGATAAACATTGGATACTGGAAGCCAAATGATACAGTAATCTAACTGACACATGTTTAGGCGCTCGTCGACATTCTCCACTAGGAAATGTTTGAAGACCGTAGTAAATGCACCGTTCCCTGAGCTATAGTTTTCCTTTGACGTCGGAGTCCCTTATGGGATTTTCCGAGTTAGCAGGTGTCTTGTTTCGATGAACACAGGAAAGTAACATCTATACTATACATGACTTAATTTCAGTGAATTCTCTGCACTTCACACTAAATCGACGTGATATGGGGTTTTGTGTCAGTCAGTCATTCAGCGAACTTAATAATGTCATTATATACTTCACTGATAGTAAGTAAATCAACATTGCCATGAGGGACCGATATATGCACTGTGATGCAGTACTATTTAATAAGCGATGTGAATACGATCAAGACAAAAAAATATGGCTGGAATCAAGTTTTATCGGTATTCACCATTGTAGTTTGATTGACACACGCACAGTCGATGTCATTTCATTCTTCATGTAGCAACGATTTTTAGTCTACACATGAAGTGACTATATTTCTACTTTTCAGTAACGCCGAATTAATTACCATGAATGTTTGTTTTAACTTTATCAGATCTGGTGAAAGTTATTCAGGTAGAAGAGGATTTGGGTAAGCTAAAATGTTTACTTCTGTGTTCTTATTCTGTCTCGAATTCAAAGCGGTAACCATCCTGTTAGCTGCAGAGAGGGAGCAACGTTCTTCCTGTCCTGGATTTCTTGACCGTTCGTGGTAATCACAGTATAGTGTGACTGTAATTCCTAAGAAATGTCTTACCAATCTGAGATTAGTAAACTTGACCTACCTATTGATAAGGTCAGCGTTAACTAGAAGCGATTTACCTGCACAGTTAGAATTTGAAAGCCTCTTGATGAAACTCTGATATCTGAGATTTTGTATGGATCCCCTTTTTTATTATAAAATTTACAGGATATACTAATAGTTACATAGCAAAAATGAAGCAGTGCTTTCAGAATAAGACAAACAAATATAAAGGTGAGTGCGAACTAATGTCTTGACAGTTTTACTCACTGACGCACAGTGATTCTGGTTGGTTGTTTCACTGTTAAGATAAGTTGTTATCGAAAACATTGCAGCCTTTTTACGGCTAAAACGTATCGTTTTTATTTTAAATGAGTTGAGCAGCGACAATGACAGCACCACCACCACTAACAACAACATCAAGTTACTTATATCACGTCAACTGTTCAATGGGAGAGTGCTCACCTGCCCAGTTGGAGGCACAGTTTCAATTCCTAGACAACGCGTGCGTAATCCTTGCCTATCTTACTAGCCGATAGTGAGTCTGGAAAAGAGGAGATTTTGTGCCTACGGTTAGCGATGACACCATGTAAAAGCAATACCATCGCTACTGAAACTTCAAAACTTGTTGCCTTATGTGTGAAAATGGAGGATCATTTTCCTTTGGGTTACTTCAATTACTTTCAGATATGTAATAATTAGCCATCAGTGATAACACCGTCAATATTCACTAGTACCACATTTTTCGAATTTTGCCTTATTCCAGTTCTTCAATTCATCTTCATTGATATCATTCCTATTCATTTATATTCTCACTGCGAATTTCTTTTTTGATTCATGAAAACAGAACTCGTCAGAATATATGGAACTGGAATTTGTTTATTTTCTCATCCGTTAAAAGAGTTTCACGGTATGTCATTGAAAAATGTTTTCATCATCACAGATGTCATGTGAATTGAGGCCAGAATCAAATACCTTTGCTCTAGGAATTAGGTATTGCGTTTTGATAAGTAATAATACAGATACGTGTTAATCATGGCAAATAATACATCAGTAGTGTGGAACACCCCTTTTTCCTCGTAATCAGCGGGAGAAATATAAGTAAAGTCACCCTTTTCTTTTACCTGGTCAGCATCGCCACAACTAAAGGCGACACGAATCAGCATTTAGAAGATGGCCAGGATCGGGAAAGCAGGACAGGTTTTCACTGCTCCGAAATCAGTGTGAAGGTCTGCCGTACTCAGAACATGGAAGTGTTTAGTGGTCAGCAACACTTATGTCGAGTCAGTGCTTCTATATGTTCCAGAGGCTTGACACACGCACCATAAAAGGCATTCACGACAGCCCGCTTCAGAACTCCATCAACATTTGCCGTCTTAGCTGCCTCGATAATGAAGATAAGACGATCAGAATGACCACACAGAGACTGCACAAGGCAGCCAACCGCCATACAACTTGCTGCTCAACAAATATACAGAAAGAAAGGGAGGTGGAAGTCAATTAGGCGACATCACACACCGGACAGGCTCTCGAGTTCAGCTTGAATGGGAAGCGAGGAGTTGATCGTCGCAGTGTGACATGGAGGAAATTAAGTCGCGGAGAGATGGAAACATTTGTTCAGTCGTGCAGCCTGCTGAAATTCAAGGGTCTCTGTCTGTCTGGATTCAACATAGAACTTGTCACCGAAGTGCAGCGGTTCGAGTTGCCACGTTCCAAATAGCACACAGAGGTAGACAAGAAGATGAGTGAAGTGAATCAATAGAGTTTGACAAGTATAAGAGTGAAACAGAATGGGTAATGGTAGGAAGGAATATGAAAGATTACAGAGACTGAATACATCTGCGCCATTGACAACGATTTTGAGCCATGTCACCTATTGTCTTCAGCCATTGATTCCTAGAGTCCCGAGGCACCCAACCCGGGAGTCTGCATCTCCCTACCTGACTCAGTTTAACTGTCAAGGATTTCATGGATTGATGAGGCCATGTTTTTGTTTGGCCACCACTGGCTCTTTTCCAGCCTGCACCTACATCAGCTAGCAATGCCCGTCGGGGGAGGCGGTGGTTAGGCATGCGCAGCACGTGACCTAGCCATCTTAGTCTATGTAACTTTATAGCCTCGTCGATTGATTTTCCCTCTTTACCCAACACTCTACGCCTAACGTCAACATTACTTACCTTATTAAACCACCTAACGTGAGAAAGAGGTCGCAGACATCTATGATCGAAAGCAGTCAACCTTTTCATGTCTTCAACGCGTATTGGCCATGTTTCAAGGGAGAGAATCGAGAGGAATGAATAAGTACTACACTAATGGCCTATGTTTCATTCTTAGTGACTAATAATAATACTTAAAAAAAGTAAATTCCCTAAGATAAGTAAGCGAAACACACTCACATTGAGTTTTAAATATTTCGTTTATTTCCGACACAGACCTCTGATATAAAGAGGCGTTGGTAGCTGAGTGGTACAACGCTTGCCAACCACGCACATAGTCTGAACTTCCTTTCCTGGTCGACGTGCTCCTTTACCACACTGAGACGGTAGTTAACTTAGTGGAGACAGAAGGTTGAGCATGAAGTTAGCAACCAAGACCAACACCAACGCTACTGAAACATTAAAGATCAAGCTTGCAGCTGTTTACTCCAATCTGAATGTTAAGAAATAAAATAAATAACAATAATAATAGTATTTATAAAGATAGTTCATTGTAAACTGTCTAGATTTCATAGAGGTGTCATAAATAAAATAAGAAGAGTATTCTCTGTTCTCACAGTGACTATGTATTTCTAATATTCTCAGATTCAAAATGTTAATTATTCAATTTGCAGAAAGGTTTCTGCTTCTCGTGATATTATTATGATTTCATTGAGTAAAGACAAATAAAATCAACGCGGTTAGTATCATAAGGGAAATCTTCTTTCAGCTGGGGAGGAAAATGACATCTGATGAGGATCCTTCAGCCTTTTTTCAAATTGTTATTACCTTGGATTTCGAGTGGAGCATGAGGCTTCAGTAGCACGTCTCCATTTCATTTTGTTCGTCGACTCCTCTCCATTTCCTTTCGCATATTTCTAAGGTGATAATTTCTCAGTTGGTTTTATCCCAGAGTTCTTTGTTGCATATGCTTTCTGGCTAAACATCCGACCTTCCGTACAGAGCGAATGTATCTGTTGATGAAAGTCTGCAGCCAGTGTGAAAGTTTCGTTTGTCTTACAAGTCAGTTTTACTTGAATTAAACTTTCAACTAACTTTTTGACAGAAATTTATCCTATTGAGGATATGAACGTACAATTGTACAGAGAAATCGGAGCACAAGCTGAAATTGTATGTAAGTAACACAGTGATACATAATATGATTTTAGAGGATGATATAACGTGACCTTCAGATACCATGTTTTATATTGCAAACCCTACATAATCATACTAACAATCTATTATTCTTAAATACTATCATTTCAATTAGAAGAAGTATGTATCTATTTCAAAGTAATTTTATCTATGAGCTGAAATGGGATGTAGAGCAGATAGAAAAGTGTTACTTTGGAGTCTGAAACTTATCAGAATTGTGTACCCATCGACTAGTGCGAGATCGAACTCATGATTATTAGCTCCGAAGCTCGGACACTGAAACCCCGAGCTTATGATCTCCAACGTCAGATGAAATTGGAACGCCGCACGTCACCGTCAAACAGAGCATAGGATGACAGTCAAATCTCATCTCAGCTTCATTGAATTTGAATAGACCTTAAATAGCGTTGACGGTGAAGTGAGGTGAAAAGTGCTTCAATACAATGAAGTGCTCCAAACCTTCGTTAACCTACTTCAGCAGTTATGTGACAATTGCACATGTCAAGTGATGCAAAAGCGAGAGCTTAGTGAGGCCTTCTAAGGGAAGACTTGAGAAAGGCAAGCTTGAGAAGACCACGGAGTAAAATCACACTCAAAGCCATAGCCCAAGTGGAATTTCGAATGAAAAGAGACGATTTTGATGTTTGGCTGTAACATGGAGGAGATAAGATCTCATGGGTAATCGTGGAACCAGCTAAAGGCTAACCCATTGTGGGTAGTAATAATAAATAACAGAATGTTGAAGAAGTCAGTTATGTGGACGATTTCAGTGTGCTAGTAATCTCTGATAAATTTCTATCTACTGTATAGTGTACTGTACAATCGAAAATCTCCTGCCATCATGTGTAATGGCTAGTAATTCTCCTTCCTCTCTATAACTGTTTAAAAGTGTTTATTTATCTCAGTATCTTAAGCCTGATTCATCATCACTTTCAAAGTTAATGCTACTAATCAGTCAGTTGTACAAGATAATAATTTTTCACGCATGTTTTCAGTTGAGAAGAAATTATTTACGGCGTTATTAAATGATCAGAAGAAATTGATACCAGCAGGTGAGTGTTATGAAGTGAATTAAATTGAGGCAATTGCTTTAGAAATGCCATCTTATCCTGTTTCTTACTTCAAGCAAGGATAATTACAGCCAACACTGGTGCTTTCAATAAGTTCTTCTTCACGCTATATATTTATAACTCTTATTATTTTAACATATACCAGCCAGTCAACTTGAAGTTGAATTAAGTCAGAAGCTGTATTGCGCTGCAAGTACAAAATGAAATAATAGTCATTCAGTTTGGATTGACATTTCCAAAACATATAAAATATGTCTAGTGAATAAGAAAGAGCATGAGATAAAATGAAATGAAAGAATTCAGTGGTGCGTCTGCGTAATCGTGATCAACAAAGTACCAGTTTCAAAGAGTGGTGCGAGAGGTAGTACGGATACTGTAGAAAAACAAACGAACAAATAAAATGCAATGAGCCAGGTTTAAGTTCAATGGATGTCAATTAGCGGTAATAATGATATATTAAATAACCATGGTATGGTGTACACAGAGGAGTATTATCAGTGACTGATTATTTAATAGAGTGGAGAGATAGCGTATTACGTGAATACCATAACACATGTGAAGGGTATTATGGGAACACAGGAGTTAGTTTTTGAAACTGTCAAGGGTATGAAATAAGAGGTTGCAAGGGAAACCAACCGAAAGAGGAAAACAATATAATAGGGACTTAATATGATACCTGTCAATGTTTGTAGAAGACTTCTTGACGTCATTATAAGCCAGTGGTACACAAAGTGGTTAGATCTACCTCTTCTGGATGCAGTAATCGGTCCTTCTAGTATTGACTGCCACAGCTTCAGCTACTGATAGGAGACACCACTGAATACGCCTGAATAGATTCTTGTAAACGTGATAGTTCCGGTTAAACTATATGTTCAATAACCGTAGAGCTTGAAGAATAATTTATTCAATTCTGTCTGGTGTTGACATCGTCATCCCTGCCGCCTGCCTGCAGTTGAAACGATGCATCCAAGACAAGTGAAGGAAGGAAGTGACCTCTCTCAAATTCATTCTGTTGATAGAGATTAGTGTTGGTTGATGTTATTATTGCTGTTTATTGGTGATGGTGATGGTGTTTATGCTGGTCGTGGTGGTGGTTGTGATTGGTAATCTTCATCACCTCCATCTTCTCTATGTTCACTTGAAATCCTGTCCATTGAACAAAACAACAGCTAACTTCGATTATCCTCATTCTGAATAGATTATGAGCAACAACTTTGATTCTACTTGTTCACGTAAACATCATCACAGTTAAAACAGTGTCCACTCTGATATTTGAATTTCATGAAACCACAAACTGTTATATTTAATAATATAAAATAAATCACTTCATAAATTCATGCACCTGTTCAACAGCACTCACTCAGTCAGTCAGTCAGAGTGAAACGTATTGCATGTTGAATTGATGAAAAGTTGTCCACCGAGCACAAATGCTTCATCCGTTATCTCTTTGGAAAAAAACAGAGTTCATTAATTAATCAGGTGAACCGCTACTTTCAATTGTCAATTTTCAAAATTACGTTTTCACTACTATTTGCATTTGTTCCATCTATATTTCTAAAATGAATATGTGTGTCTACTTATTTTTACAGAATAACTGAACCACCTGGAACTTATTTTTTCTTCTTATCACCCAATGACTTTTCGCAAGAAACAGTGCTGAGTGACAAGATCTTACCTTGGAAATAAACACTTTCATTGACTTTTATTATTATTATTAATACTGATGTTAATTTCACTGAAACTATTCCATTCTTGATAAATAATGCTGTCCTCATTCATTGTGTAAAAATTAACCTTTGAAACACGAATGTGCGAATGGAAAATAATAAAGCAGGCGATTACTAATTGTTGTTACTTTTGCTATTGATTTCTTGAGTACGGAGTGGGAGATGTGACAACAGCAGCTCATCTCCATCCCATCAATCTAAGTTGGCTCCACCAAAATATCACTTACTCTAGTACACTTCTCAATCGTGCGATCTCCTCCATATCACTATCGCAAACAACGCGTCTCTCACCATCCGCCTTCCTGGCCAGCCACCGCACCTTCATTATCGCGGCAGCGAAGTGAGCAGATCTTGTTGAATGTGTGTGGTAGCCAAAAAGAAATGCTTCGTTTTCTAGGTGTATCCTAGCGGTGGAAGTTGCATGAGTGAAATTACAGCTTGTGACTCTGTGACAGTGACTTTCAAAACAAACGGTTAGAGAATGTGCTGAGCAGTTTACCATTTTCGGTGACTTTCGGTGGCCATTTCATGTAAATGACGGGTGAATTTCGTTGAGTGTGAATAAATCATCGTTGCCAGACATTGAAGTTTATTTGGTTTGCTATCCATTCTCCACTTCACCCTCCGGTCACGTCAACGTCTCTTCACTCACAAACAATTTAGAAGAACAGATGCAGATCGACCTCAGTTAAGGTTTGCTCACAAACCGATGTGAATTAGGGAATCAATCAAAAGTCTTCATAGCTGAAGACTTCCCAACTAGGACAAATATATCTCTTTTACTTTCTGGTTTCTCGTCTGTCCCTAGCTGCTTTCGCTTCATCATGAGTTCTGCATAGAAACTGATCCAAATCTCTGCAGAAGGCATAGTCTGAAATGAACATAAGATGTTGTATCGCAGCAGTCTTTGCCTTTCATTATCATTATTCCCTTAGAATCCGAGTGGGATGTGAGATGCCAGCAGTAAATCACCAGCTCAAAATGACCAAAGCAGATACTCTCACATTTCTCCAGGACTGATTCAATCTTAGTCTCACAGGCTTTCTTCCACATCACATTCAGATAGCGGACGAATCAATTCGTATTCAGCTTCTTACTCGAGCGCCAACGGTGCGATGTCACTCAACGGACTCGTAGGCATGTGTTGATTCCATCCCCATATTCTTTTGCATATTTGTTGAACAATAGGCACTTGGTTGTTTCTTTTTGCTAGATTTCTTTGTCGCCTATCCTTCCTAGCTGGCCATTTGATCTTCAGTGGTGGCCAAATGTAACTGTTGATGAAAGTCTACAGCGTGCTCAAAATTCTTTTCATGACACACGCGTCAAAACCCTGAGTCGACCTTAATGTTAAACATCCTTGTCTTGTTCTTCACACTGTCACCAGCAGATTTCCGTATTGATTACCCAATCCCAACCTTTACGTTAAAATCTGTGCCGCCACATGTAGTGGAAAAAATACAGTCATTACTAGTAATTGTCATATACATAACATTGCCACCGGTTTCATGGTAATGTGAGCTACCGGTCTGTTAAATGTTTGAAAAGCCGTCAAATAGCCGAATGAAGGTGTCTCACACTCTGTAGATTTCACTATCAATTACCAGTTGACCGTAACATAATGTCAATCACAGTGAAACACAAACACTTAACGGACTGAAGCAATAAATATTGTACATCAATCTGAACGTGTTAGCTCTACAGATCAAGAGATAAAACGGAGACCTCAAATTCAGTTGCACCAGTGTCAATACAGCCACACTGAACATCTCATTCTAAAAACATACTGCACACCGTAATTTCAGAAACCGTTAGGTAGATAGATAAACACTACACATCAAAGTGAGCAGAATTTAGCGTAATTTAATACTTATTAAATCATCATTGAAAAAGTGAAGAAATGTGAGAACGCAGAGTGCATTGTATCCTCGTTGACACAGAACAAGTTGATTGTAATGACTAATTAGAAAATTTGAAGCGGAAGAGATCCAAGCAAAAGTCACGTCATAATTTTGTCAGTTGTAAACAACATTCCACTGAAAATAGTGTTCCAGCTGACATATGCAGGAGAAGATGGTAAACAAAAGCAAGCAGCAGAGGTTAATTAGTATATGCGGTGATAGAATGTCAATAACCTACTTATAATAAATTTGGATATCTGAACAGAAAATATTAATCACACTGAAATAAGAAGCCAAATAGACACGTTTCATGCTGACTGACTTCTGAGTGAAATAAGCCACCTTTTTGTTTAATACCTCACTCGGTTTTTTCAATGGAAGTTTAAATTGAACCTTCATTTATTGGAACTGGTAGCCATTGGTGGGCAACTCGAAGGCACGAATGGTTCAATCGTATACAAGTTCGATGAAGACAAATGAATAGGATTAAAATAACTTTGTATTTTATTGTAAAGCATTTGTTTACAGACTGTGTACTCACCCCGATTTTAATTGCCAAATAATACAACTTCCTTGTAACAACCACTGGTGTTCTGGAGTTAGAGTCGAGAATCGGTCGCAGTAATTATCGGTTCGGAACTTCTTCGTAGCAATAGGAACTTAAGGTTAAGTTCCTTAACAATTTTTAATCTTCTGTTCTTTTTCTGGGGGCGCCTTTTTGGTCCATGTTTTTCATCACTTCGTTTTCTGGAGTGCATTCTGGAAGTCTTCCGGGTTTACTCACTGGTTCTGTGGCCATTAGCTCCTTGGACACGGATCATCAACGCAATTTGGATCGTTTGGTGACGCTGGATAATGCGTGGGCCGAGAAAGGGACGTGGCACCGTGGAAGCAGACAATAAAGTAAGTAATGATGAGCTGCCTGTTAATTGTAATGATATTCATGATGCTCAGCATGATGAGTCTGATGTTCACGTCTCACCGTTTACGGACAGTAGGGCTTTAAGGCTTCCTAAGTTTGAACGTCAGTACTGTGATGCGAACCCAGCCGGCTACCCACAGTTTATCAAGGAGTTTGATGTCATGCTGAGTGATTTTGTTTTAATTGACGAAATGATGGTTACAAGCTGCAAGACAAACACGGTCGTGTTTCTTCTGTTTGCAAGAAGAGCATACAAAGGCGAAATGTGAAGCAGTGAGCAAGTTTAGTGCTAAGCTAAATGTGAAATCAGCGTCATCAAGGTCTGATTCCGAATTGTGTGACGATAATGGTGCGGTGAAGAATCCGGTAGTTGCAACTGGTAAGCCATTGTTGAATAGAGTGACACAGACGACACAGCAGTTTGTGCAGAGGAAAGGAGTTACAGTTTCAGAGTCTAGTTCTGACTCCACAAATTTTTCAAGGTATTACTAGTCAAAGTAAAGGTATAAAACCTTCAAGGATGCATGAAGAAGAACTCAAATCATCTACTGATGTTATTTAAGAGTTTGAAAATTATGAAGTCGATCATACAAGCGGTGGTAAAGTGGATATTTGTGACAATAATCATGATAGAACACATTTATCTTTGGCTGACCATGATGAGATGAGCGGAATGCTTACTTCTACTGAGATGAACAGAGGTTCTGTACAACTTGAACGTGAAGTAGAAATAAAGGTAGATGAACTCACGTGTCTTATGCTATGACTGCTAGTATCGGTCCGTTTGAAAGGACTAAATTCAATGGTCAGTTTATTGAGGGTAAGCCAACTGTGTATGAGAGGGTAATTGTTAAACTGACTTGCACGAATAAAGGCCTTTCAGGTTTCAAGTTACTATTTGAATGTTGTTATCTTTGGTGTAAATTACTCTGTGCCTACGCTTGGTTGGTCAGATACGTCATATGTTTATTAGTCATCTACATTCCACGGTACAATGGCATGGTGTGTGACCGTTCAGAGTTGAGGATACAGATGATAGAAGGAGGTCAGAAAATAAACTCTGAGATGATTTTTTAACCTGGGGTGTCAACCTGAGAAGGGTTGTAGGCGTACTGCTGTAAGTCCTACAATTCTTCAAAGGTAGTACGTCGGTGCGCAGTCCGTCGTACTTGGTGTATTATTTTGTTCATATGTTCATGTTGTATATACCAAATTGGTATCACCTTTAATCTATCTGTTGGTTAATTTTGTTTTTGTACAGACATCTTTCCACTTGGATCGTCAGCCTGAGAAGGAATATAGGCGTACTGCTGTAAGTCCTACAATTCTTCAAGGGTAGTTCGTCAAGGCAGAATCGACAACATTTGATATATTGAATGCACATATATTTGTGTTAAGTAGTTGAGCGGGTTCCGATTCACTTAATTGTTTGTTTATTTATAGTTGTTCCATTGTGTGAATCATCTTGTAATGTTACTGTAGGTACTTCTGAAGTCATTTCTAGTCTTCTAAACTTGTGAACGAATCGAGTACTGTTAGAGTCAGTGTACGCGACTTGATATGCCGGGGGAGGGATTGTGCCAGAGTGATATGAAGCAACCAACCCCCGTGGACCAGATCAGTGGTGGTACTGTCGACAGAGAGCGATCACTGAGGAAGATCCCACATGCCGGGGAGAGCGTACTGGTGTGATGTGGTATGCTTGTTGTTTGTTGGGCTTTTGCTCTTGCTTTTCCATTTTAGCCTAGTCCCGGTTGGCAAAGGTTCACGTATTGGCAGTTCAGGTCGAGGTTATCATCGCTATGGAAAAAAGGGATGGACCCTTTTCTGCCGGGAGTGTCAATGGAGGTGAACATTGAACGTTTGTCTATTGGAACTGGTAGCCATTGGTGGGCAACTCAAAGGCACGAATGGTTCAATCGTATACAAGTTCGAAGAAGAAGGGCGATGCCAGCAAAATTTTGTGTTTGTATTAAGAGACTAGGATTATTCTCTCGAATTCCCATGTATTTGGCCTTATGGGGAATGATGGGTTCTGATACCCTCCGAAATATTCGACGGAATACGATAGATAAGGTTGAAGGCATCTATTCTTCTTCTGTTGCCGATCAAGTGATCGCTATCGTCGTCATCATCATCATCGTCATAGTTCAAATGAGAGGAAATAAGGCTTCTTACGCATTTTGTGTGGCTTTTTTGAACTAGGTAAGAGGATACTGCGTAGTGAGTTTGTTCCACTGTCTTTAATTGTCTGTCCTGTAGGTAGCTCTCTCTACTGAAGCAGAATAACGTCTAACTGCATAGTGAAGTGTTGGGCCTGGTTGTCTAGCTTATCTTTCGCCTGATCAATTATCACCGATCGGTTGGAAAGTGACAAACATAGGTTGGCAGGAGCAGTGTAGGCCTCTTTCATGCTCCAGTTGATCTGATTTGAAGTACGTCACCAGTCACGACCCTTTTGAATTGAGATTTCAGGAAAGGTGTTTCTTCTCTAACAGTGGTGAATTTCTCTTCGCTGTACTCAATACTCATGTTTCTTTCTACGTATCAACTAGGATAACCCGTTTTCAGCAGCACGTTTCGGGTGTATCCTAATGTATTTGCTAAGGAATTATCGGTAGAAATCCTTCTTGATAATTTTGTGAGGCATCTGACCAATATGATTGATATCGGATGACGTCAAGACTGAAAAATGTGTACATTGTCTTAAAAAGGTAGTTCTTCAATAGGCAATGTCATATTCTTTGCCTATGTCTTGTTTTAACTTCATCACTGGGAATGTTTAATAATTTCACTCGGTGTTTTACTGTGAGATTTATTCAAAACCGATCGAAATATAAGAGTCTAGTATCTTTAACTGTAACGGAACGATTGTTTGGGAAACCTATCTGCGAACCGATCTTATTCCAATATTGATATTTACTGAGAATTTCCATCTAACTTTGTAGTTATTATCCATTTTTCTCCTAGACTGTATTCCATTGTCTTGATATTCGCCTGTCATCCGTTGACTTACTGCTTATTTTTTGTTTGGTTACTGGATTTCATCACGAGCTGATATCGTTGAGAGAACCAGTGGAAAACCTAGCAGTGTTCATCTTCGTTTTTGTTTAATCTATAATTTCAGTGCTTCTCTTTGTGGTTGTGTGGTGACATTATGACAATGTCTCCTTCTACGATAGCTATTTTGTTTGAATGAGATCAAGCTTCGTTGTGTGAATTGTGACCTTGGATTTTGTGATGTGAGTGCTTGATGCCTGGCTGATGCTGGCACAGTTTTAATTCTGCCTTGTTGTCAATATTCCTCAAGATACTTAGGTGCTTCTTACGATTGTACAGTACTTAGTTTGTAACGGATAAGGAATTACATGTGTATCGCTGCGTGACGGGATTGTTGCGGTAATTTCGCTTTTTGCTGTGTTATCATTGTTTATTGGCACACAAGGTTTCCTTGCGAATAACTGTCATTTTACTACCCTCGGGACAGTTTGGCACTGTGTCTTACACGAGGAGGTCTCTGTCAGCTATACAGTGGAGCAAAAACATCGATTTTCTGCGTTCAGACAGTAACACGGATACACCGATTGTGTGTGTGTGTGTGTGTCTAAATGACTCACTCGAATCATACAAGTAGGCTATATGAAAGATAAAACGACTGGTTGTAAGTAGAATTGATTTTGAGAAAGAGAAAATGTTTATTAATATGAACTAATAACACACCATCACCAGAGAGTAAAATTCTATCAGTTTATGTTCACTCCACGTCGACCGTGTTTCATTCATATTCGTCACCTGTGAAAAAATATGGAGTCATATTTATACATACTAGTGCATTGAAATAATTTTCAACAGTCAATACGCAATCATTTGTCTTGCTTCAGTTTTAACTACGGATTGATTTTAATAAGAGAATCATTGAAAGCATGATGAGAGTGTCGAACGACTGGCTGTTTCGACCTGGTTTTCGACTCATCAGTAACACACAAACCACTGTTGTTTGAACTCAGGACGCATCAAGAAACAAAAAGAACTCGTTGAATATTCATCGCCATGGCCCAGCTCAGTGGTCAGCCCCTGAGTTCTAACTTCTTCAAGTTTGTGATTTTTCGCACGACAACCAGTAAAAGTCATCGCTGAATATTTGTATTCACTACTGACTGGGTGAAATGCAATGGTCACGACTTCTGCTCACCAGAACTCCAGACAACTTTGTCCTTTTGCCAGTTATCGCAAAGAGTCAGATTAATTTTCAAGAATTGGCGATTCGATTGGTTTCATGTGGTGGTCACACAAAACATCAGGAAATGTTGGAATTAAGAATTCATGAGGTGGATTGGTCTACGAGATTGACTTGTAACCAAGAGGTGTTTGTTTGAGACATCGGTCAGTGAGTACTGGAGTTGAGCATCAGCCTAGAATGAAACAGCCAGCTGCTCAGTACTTCCAGCAGACTTGCAGTGTTTCTCTAACTGATGTCAAACCTTGGTAGAACTTAGTAGGATTCTGTAAATTTAAGAAAGTAATAATCTACTGTTGACACTAGTGGCTGACTGACTCCCGTACGGTGTTGCTTGGAGTTCTATTGGGTGAGAAGTCACGTCCGATGAGGTTCACCAAGTGAGATGTGGGGAAAGATGCTCACCACTTGCATTGGCTGGTGGTGGTGTAAGACATCGCGAATGTTTCATGCATGTAATTTAATTGTCAAGCTTTCGTTTCCTTCTAGACAATATCATCTTATGGCAAACTTCAACATGAAATGAATTTATTTGAATTCTCGACGAATGATGAAGTAATTGTGTCTCCTGGTAACCGTATTTGTAATGACAGGTAGTCCAATACTACCCTTATTGATCTTCTTATTGCCTTTTAAAATAAATTTGTTCATCATGTGGTTTATTCTTCATTGTTTGGTAAATTTGATCTGTAGTAATATATGTGCTAATCGTTGACTGTTTCACCAAAGAACCATACTTCTGGAAATTCGGTAGCGTCGTTTTCAGCATTTCCGCTGTCGAATGTTTCTACAGTTTAATCCTTCACATGCATATGGATAGGGAAGAAAAGACGTCGTGTCTGTTCACAGCTGGTTTGTGTTTTTGCATTGGCAGAAGTTCGAACTCATAGGTCGGTGTTTGGATTCAAACACAGTTGTTGAAATATCAAGAGACTTGATTCACAACCTAAAGTTGCTGGGTCAGACCATATTTATGGGTGATTATGAGAGCGTGCCAGTGAGGAATGGGGAAGTAGGAGGGTGAAAATAGTGTCTGCTATTCCTCAGACTCCAGTGATTTCCTTCTGAGAACACTCTTTGTTCCATTTGACACTGGCAGACAGAGTTTTAGTCTCATCTTACTGTGAATGTTCTTACTGATTTTCGGATAACTTGTAATTGTGGTTGGACAGTTAGCACTGCTGTATAGAACGTCTTTTGTACCTGAAACATCTTCCGACTTCATGGCTGTTGGAAGGCATTGTTGATGTCGTTTCGTATTGTCGACATGAATTATTACTGTTGTTGAATGGTGTCACAGATTTCATCAAGCAGTAATGTCTTTCAGCAGTGTTGGAAGATAATTTTGGCGTATGTGTCACTAGCAGCAGTTCAGAAAGCTATGAAACAGGAAAGCAGCCATTAGTTTGCGGGGTTGAGACCAAAATGAAAGTGGCTATCTGGGAAGAGATCAACGGAGACGCAGATAGTGAAAGGTAGTGAAGGGAATTCAGTTGAGGGAGAGGTGAAACAGAGACAAATCTAGATTCATTACCCCAGAGGACTTCTTAGGTGATCACCACCCACAACTCGCCAAGTAATATCCTCAACAGGCACAAAACTGCCAGTGAATACCGACTGTCCAAAGAAATCAGAAGTTTTGAAGACCAAGACTTTAAAAGAAGGAGTTTGAAATCAGATGGATTACTCGAGGAGCACTGGCGACGGACGCAGATGTACTTTTGGGTGTGCTAATGCCACTACTGTAGGTGTGGAAAGAAGGAGGAAACGGTATCTACTCAGTGGAAGGGAGGCTGCTTCGTCACTATGGCAAAGAAAAGAGACTAAAGAATTGGGAGGTACTCATTTGCCATCGAACATCTATGCAATGAAAACAAAATATGAAGTCATATTATCTCTGCGAGACTAAAAGATGTTGAAAAGAAGGAAGCTAAGAGCGGATGAAATTGCAATACTTCTCATTGTCATCGAACACAACATAGAATGACGACTTTGAACGAAGAAGACCATGAACATTATCGTCTATGTAGTAGTTTGAAAGTTGCTTAATAACCCCAAGGTGTGACGCCACAAACAGTTTTGAAATCCATTCACAACACCAGCTATGCAACACTGGACGCATTATAGGTTACTCTCATTTCAATATTCATCGAAGTGTTTGATGTGAGAATAGGAGTGAGACAAGGCTAACAGCTATCGCCAACTATCCTCGATAACGTGGATGACTGCATTGTGTGATAGGCTGTGAGGAATGAGAAGGGCATCACACATCGAACGGATGGAAAATTTAGGTCTCGTAGAAGATCTGTGCCTCGTCCTTAATCAAACCTATTGCTCAGCAAATATTCCGAAGAAAATGAAGATGAATTAGATGTACTGCAAGGAGACCACCACAGACTAATATAACATGCACCATTCCGTCGAGTGGAGTCTAAGCAGAGAGAGACGTGTTGGCCAGGCTTTCTAGAGTGACGTGGAGAAGATCCTATGAGGAGGGAATGAGACCTTGTGGTGGTCAGTGTCGTTTACGGAATTAGGTGAGAGTGCTTGCAGAGGCCGAGAACCAAGGCCAATAAGGAAGTACACATCTCAGGCTTTATATTCCGCCTAGAACTTATGGAATGCATGAGTAGTTATTAACTATAGTGGTGACAATGGTAATCACAAGGCAGCTATATATTCTTCTTACTACACAATAAATAGAATGTAAAATGGCCTTTGAATCACTTACCAAATTCATGATAATCCTCTTGCTGCATTACATTGACAGCTGTATTGACAATACTCGTTGGCGACTGTACTAAACATATATGTATTCATAATTATATGAGTGAAATTTGAGTGAACTTACTGTGAAGCCTGTCGATTCTGTGCTTCTCAACCATTTCCACTTCAGAAATCAGTTGAACTAAACATGTGGAATAATATCAAGGAGAAATATTGATTGAGAGGATATCCAATCAGGAGCTAGTGAATTTCTGAAAAGCGCATTGTCTATGTCTCCTGCTTATTATTACAGAGTTTGTGACTGGGTTGTATAAATCGTGATAAGAATAAATGTCATGTTATGGTTGGAGGCAATCGGCAGTCAGAAAGCTCTATCTGACACTCAGATGTCCTGCTTGTGGTGTTGGATGCCATTCAGCACTCAGAAATGGTGTATTTACAATCTTGAAGAAGCAATGTGTTTCCCTTCTTAGATTTGAACCCTGAGTCACCCAACCCTACCTGCAGTCAAAGATGTTGTCACTGAGCCTCTCAGGCTTGTGATCCAGCTCATGTAAGGGAATAGTCTGTATACTCTTACTGCACATGGGTAGAAATCCTTGTACTGCGCCTAGTCCTTTTTGATGTTACAGAGTGAAATTTATTGTTAAATTCTGCAATGTGTCCACCGTGTCATGTGGCTTAAGTGTGTGAGAGATAGGGATGGGTAGTGACGTAGAGAGTTTTGAAGACTTTTCAAACATCTAAATGATGTCATAAAGTGCAAATGAAAATGAGAAAAATGAAATGTTGGTGAAACGTTAATTACATTTGTGTGAGTGAAAATGAAGCAGAGGGTCGACTGAAGCTATTGAACTCAGTTCATGAAAATGTCACAGACACACACGAATATCTACAGGTGAAATGCAACAAGCTGGTAGAAGAGACTTGTAGCGAGGATAAGATTTCAAATGAACATAAAGATGCTGGCGATAAAGAAGATAACCAACCAAACACCATCACCATCACCATGACCACTACAACCACCACCATCAACAATCAACACCAGTCACTGTCAGTGGAGGAATTTGAAGTCAAGTTACTTCTTTCATTTATCTTGGTAGCCAGCATCGTTTCAGCTACAGTCAGTTGACACGGATGGAAATGTCAAAGCTGATCAGGCTGGAATCTGAAAGACAGACCTTCATTACACTGAAGTCGCTTCGGAAATCCCCTGCACTATTCACAAGGAACAAGCTTCGGAATTTCAGTAGTAGTGTGAAGTCATTCGATTCTTCTTTAGAGTTGAGAGACTTCACGTGTCATCAAAAACATTTCCAAGAGGCTAATTCAGACTTTAATCAACAGCTAGCTACTCTCTCTGACTCCATACTGAAGACCAGGTAGTCTAAATGGATGAGCGGCAAGAAACTCTAGCACTGGACCAACGAAGACTTGTTAAGAGATCGACAAGTAAACCGGAAAAATGGAAATAAATGGGACACAGGCTGAGGAGACAGCGGAGTGGAATCATGCACTATGCCAAGCTGAGATGAAACGCGAACGGAAAAAGATGACTTGAGCGTCTGACGGCGACTCTGAGAAGATTGTGTCAGCAGTAAATGAAGGCTTATTTACAATTGTGGAGCAGGACTAAAACACGTTTAGGAGACAGAATCAAATAGAGATGACTAAGACCTGAGTCTTACTAAGAAATGGAGATGTTTAAGTGTTGGTTTGTAGGGATTTGATTGGTTTCAGGATTTCATCATGAGCTGACATCAGTTAGAGAACCATTGGAAAACCTGGGAGTACTGGACAGCTGTTTCATCCTAGTTTGGGACTCTTTGGCAGTACGCACCCACCGGGATTCGAACCAGGGACCTTCCGGTTACAAGGCGAGCTCGTATACCATTAAGCCACTGGGACCCGATCCAATGGTCCTTGAATTCAAATCCTGGGTTCGAATCCCGGTGGGCGCGTACTGCCGAAGTGTCCCAAACTAGGATGAAACAGCTGTCCAGTACTCCCAGGTTTTCCAATGGTTCTCTAACTGATGTCAGCTCATGATGAAATACTGAAATGGAGACGTCTCTATATCATCTAGTGAGATTTATCATACGTCAACTTGGACAGGTCAATATTTACCATGTAACAGCTTCTGTCCTATTTCATTGCAAAATAAATCTGGTCAGTGATTCGCTATATACAGGCAACTAAGACGTGTCTTCTGAAGAGGTGATCGACGAATAACTGGGTCGAATTAGCAAAATATGCATCGACAGTGGACACCCTGATAGGTTTGTTGGAGAATATTCCTCATCAAATAATGAAAAGTTGTTTGAAATATTGTACGAAAGAAGAAAGCATTCATTAGACTGCTGTTCATTCTTAGGCGACAAAATGAGTTGACGAGATATTCGGCCACTGCATAAAGCATATATCGTTGTAAAGTATCTCACTGCGAAATTAGTAGTGGCATGCTCAGGGAAACAAATCGGGATGTGAGAATGCCTCATGAGGCGTGAAACTGGATTTATTGATTTACTTGTACTTGCCTAAGTATTTACAGGGGAAGAACGGAGAGGGTGCATACAAAGAAGATTTCTGAACATGAACAAAAATGATTGTCATTAGGTGGAAGACTGTGAGGTCGCCTTCCGAGTGGTAAAACGACAGTAGTAGTAAATTACTACGATATGGAGAAACAGCAGCAATCCGAAAACTGATGCCTAATTTGGATGAAATTCACCATTTCCTGCAGATGTGCACACATGCCTTCTTTGTTTTACTCTGCACAGTGTCGTCAGAATTAGAAATTGCTTGACAGAAGGAGTTAGGAGGATTGCAAACACACACTTTTCTGCTTACCAACAGCATCCTTGAATTCAGAAATTCGTACATTTTTCTGGTCTGATTTCGTCAAGAATTCATTAGCACCTGCGAAAAAATATGAAGATATCAAAAGATGTCAGCAGGCAAACAGGATTAAAGATGGTTGAGAGATTCAAAAGCAGTTAGCGACAAGAAGATTTTGTTTTGTATGCTTCGAGTTCTGAGTGAAGTATATGGCTGCAGAGAACTTAAAATCTCGAAGTGTGAGAAGCTGAGGTGTTGTCCTAATGGCGTACACTTGTTAACCCCAGACACCTCGTTTCTTCTCCTCTAGGTTTACTTTGTGCAGGTACACTGGCCTACGTTCAAGAGAGGATCGGTTAGGAATCGAACCCCGGTGCCTCGTGATTGGTTGGCGGGAATTCTACCAATTAATATGTGAAGCAAGGTAAAAACCAACTGTTTGGAAGACGTGGGAGATAGAGAAGACCATCAGTATGTAACAATCTAATTATCCGGTTTGGTTTCAATTTCAGTCAGTTAGCTTGGATGAAGATGTCAAACCCGGTCAGGATTGAGTGGCGAAACAGACATTCACTACTCAGAAATTAGGATAAGGAACGGGAATCAAATTTTCGACAACAGTATAAAGTCATTGCGTTCTTCTGGATCGATCACCAAACACTTTTACAACAATTAACTGCGGATGTTCTTTAGCTGGTCCCTTCAATAGCTAGATTTCAAAGACCTATAGAATGACTAGACAGGATTAGTCACGTTTAAATCTCTCATCATATCAACCAAGAACCTATCGCCCAACAAACACACGGCGGAGACTGATCAGTGTTATCACTTTCGCCAGACAAACCGTCTAGTGAAACGCAAATACAAAATGACTGGTTGAGCGTGAATTCGAGTGAAGAGGAGATAAGAACTGATGATCAATCTTTGGGTCAGCTCAAAATGACTGCAGAAAACAGAATAAATGGAGATGAGCGTCGCAAGTCTCACGTTCCCCTCGGAACCAAATGGTACAATAACTAGAATTACATGGTAAAATATACACCAGGTATGAAATGCATGCATGGATAGATGTATCGGTGAATGGATGAATCACAGTACTTTGATGTGTGTAGAAGTAATTTTGGTGTCTATTGAGCAGTGTAGATGCTGCTGTATTAGTTACAATGAATCCATATATGCATATATGTCACAAGAAGATTTTATCGTGGCTAACAGGACTTACAGATAACACACTACACCGAAGACGATAGATTTATCTTATTGCAGGTAGTAATACTGTCTGATGATGTTGGTGATGTTGCTGGTCAGTTGACGCAGAAATTCGTCAATTACAAACAGTGAAACAAACTGGGACTTACCATTTTTGTTTAGTTTCATTCCTGACATTCGCAAACATTTCTTCTCAACATTCTCTGGACAAAGAGAAATGCAATGAAGCAAACTTCAAGAAAATCAGAACAAGCAGTCGACACGGAATGGGTGCCCTCCGTGTTCACATATTACTCTTCATTCTCAACGCAGAGAAACACACTTTACAGGGAAAAGCAGATGCAAATCAGAGGTGAATATTCATCAAGTCTGCAAAATTATTTATTCAGTTATTGTAGCTAGTGTCAGAGTATTATTTAGTCATTAGTCATGGTTGGACAAGAGATTCACGCGGGATTGCTGCCTCTTGGTGTAATAGTGTTCACTGAGCGTGATGGTTCAGTCGAGGAGCTTTCATTGCCTTCCTGAAGAACATCCTCAGACACTCGACAATCCTCTTTTCTCCACGATGGACTAGCACAAATCATTTCTTCTGCATGATTCGAAATAACAAAATAGGAAACGTGTTTGCCATTTAACATTTTTTCAAACAGTTGTTTACCTCTTGATACAATGAATTCATTTTCAAAAGGATCTTCTGCGTCTTCTTCTATAGTTTCTCCATCTAGTGAAGAGCAGACACGAATGCTAATGTGAGTGTCATTTCAATTTCGTTAAGTGAAAATGGAATTTACCTTTAATGGCTTTGAGTCATTTACTCCGTGGGAACTCAGCACATGTTTGGGAGGAAATTTGCGAAAGTTCTCATTGTATTGTGAGGCTAATTGTCAGTGCATGCAATGAGATTTCCGAGCTTCTTTCTTCAGACTTTTCCTCTGTCTCGGGTCAGTCATTCTACACTGAACTCAATCTGTGGGATCTGACTGCCTGACTGACTCTGACCAATTTCACTGGCGACATCTGTGTAGCTGACTTTGAAGTCGTTATAAGGTATTCTGTGCACATGTAATTAGTCTTTTCTAATTGGGTAAACAGAGTCTTTTGGCTTTCAGAGCTTGTTTCTGAGTGATTTTGTAGATTTGAATGCTACATTCTCATCCCGACTTTATTCAGAAAGCTACGTAGAATTTCAAATGATTCTTCCTGATATGATGGAAATACAGACGCCTAAATTCACTCCTCATTTATATCAGTACTGATAGTTTGTCATTTTCATAATGACGTTTAATGACGTTCAAAGGCGATTTACTCATCACCGATGTTTCTGTTGTCTCTTTCATTTCATGATTTATGTTGTTAGACATATTACCTAACGTTTTCACATCGTTTCTAAGCTTGCCTTACAACTAGAATGACCTAGGTTCGAACGCCCACTAGTGCGTACTGACGAAGAGTCCCAAACTAGGACGAAACTGAAGTGCAGTGCTTCCAGTTTTTCCAATGGTTCCCTAACCGATGTCAGCTAATGGGGGAAATCCTGTAACCAGTTTCTAAGTAAATTAGTTAAGTCCGCCATTAAAAACTACGGTCGAGATGATATTATGTCAAAAAATGTTGAATAGTTTAGAGAAGACCTGAATAGGTGAAATGCATGCCATAAGACACAATTGCTCATGGAGATGGAACAGACCAACCTGTCTGAAATGTAATATACGTATGTGGAGGGAAAGCTTGGTCACTGTGCGTTTGTTCATCGAATGAATGCGCGACACGTGCAGTATCAGACACCGACACCAGATATAAATGGCGAATAATATTAGTAACCAAAAGAATCAAGGGATTATAATTAGTGGAATTATATAAACAAATGATTTTGAAAAGAATAAAAGCTGCGATGGATGCACAGTTTCACCCACATTAGACTGGATTGAAAAAAAATTCATGTATGGATGAAATAACAACTCTATGCATCGTCATTGAACAGAGACGGAGACTGGAGGCAGCGAGAAAACAGGAATTTGTTAGACAGATAAGAAGACGCTGGGAGTTCGGGATATCGAGGTCAACAAGCACCAATCACTATACACGGAGGAAATTTGAAAGTGGTCACTTCCTGCACTTGTTTAGGAAGAATTTCATTCTAACCAAGTGAAGCATGCATAAGACATTCAGAACTCCGAAATCAGCTTAGGACTCTGTCACACTCAGTATGAGGAGATGAATTCGCTTTTATAACACTAGTTTGAAATCAGTTCTGTATTCTAGAGGGACCTGGTGTGCTGTCAAAAGCAGTTCAAACAGGCTATTAAGGAATGTTATCAGCAGCTGCATTTGCTGACTTCATACAGAAGATCAAATGGTCAAACTGCAAGGATCAGCACGGAGGAACTCAGGGAACGAACCAGTCAATAACCCGATAATCAGAAAATATGTGAGAGAAAGTGGAGATGGATGAGACAGAGGTTGATGAGACTGTCGGGTGACACGGAACACCAGATCATCGGTTGAGTGGAACCCGAGTAACTCGTCGGTTCCTCCGAGGCATGTAATAATTGCAATAGTAGCTTTGTTCCCGACAGCGTTTATTAAGTGTACGGACTTCTCTGCAGAATTAAATGAGTAATACATACAAGTCATATGCGCAGTTTACTCGCACCCATTTTATTAGTTCTCAAATGTGAATGAATGAATGCTTACTTCATTAAATTTATATTGCATGGGGATGGTTATTCAAAACTGATATCATTCAATAATCCATCAACCTTAGAAATCTTCTTCGAAGTGCACTTCGAAAGTTGCATAAATTGGGATTTTTTTTGAATTTGACCATACACATAATTTCTGTGTCCTTGAAGACAGCAGGCTTATCTGACCAATCTGGTAGCGTTTCCAGTGATGACCGTCACTCACCTCTCCTGCAGTGCCAGTTCCTGTTAGTCATGACTACAGATAGCCAAACGCTTGTCGTTCACTTGGATAACGGCACATCACAGTGGGAAGAGGATTCAATGCAGTCGCTGTCGCATAACATCCATGAACACATGATATGACGAGAAAATAAAACACCTAATACCTCAGATCACAAATTAGTCGTTTACTATGCTACTAATGAAAAGGGTTGAAATTCATGGATGGTCGGATCATTTCCCAGCGGATGAATGGTTTGCAACTACATCTGGTAGCCGGAAGATCCTAGGTACGAGAGACAGTGGATTCATACTGTTCAAGAGTCGTAAAATGGATGTCTAGTTCACTCTGCTTATTTCCAATGATTCTCTGACTGGTGTGAAATAGAAATCACACCTCTAACTTATCTGAAATCTTTCAGGGTGAATAAATAACTATGTATACCTTTTGGTTATTTACGTTTACTCACTTTCATCATTGATGTCGTGATACTCCGGCATGTCCACAGTTTTATAGTACATAGCTGTCAATACAAAACATCATCGATGTATCTCATTGTTCAGAAAACACACAATGAAAATGAGTAGGCTTATAATGTGTTTCGTGAAATTTATTTCATAAAAGTGTATATGATCCTAACAAACAATGGTGAGTCGCCAGTTGCCATTGTTGACTGTGTCCAGGTCAGTGAGATTTCTGGCATAAAATGAGATGTATTTCGTGCAGTTTCATGTGATGAGTATATTTGAGGTGTTCAGCACAGGTAGACTGGTCTTTCAGAGTACAGTTAAATATCATTCATATCAAGCAACAAATCGACTATATTTCCCCATATTTTGCGGCTCCATTTTATATTACTGCTCCTGAATATGTCACTACTCCTACTTATACTACATCTATTATTGTTCTGTCAATAATACGCCCTAATAGTCATTCAACTGAAGTGTTTAAGCCAACGAAGAGTACTCTTATGTTCCTAACTTCCATACAGAGATGTCTCACGTCTGGTTGACACTCAAGTGATGACCTGTGACATCATGCCTTTCATCGGTCACTTCATTGTGCGTCCGATCCTTCTCACTTTCTCCAGAATATTTATTGAGTAATAGTTTTTAAATGGTTTGATCTCAGCTTCGCTTGTTGCTAAATCCTCTCGTGTTCGTCTGTGGTTCAGGGCTAGAATGCACATCAAACGTGCATGTGGTCTGTATTCGAATTTCTAGCCGACACAACCCTTGCCTCACTCAGCAATAAACCATGAAATCGAGATGGATGGGTGTGAGACAGAAATACCACAGTATAGCAAAAACAAAGGTTATTGAGAGTCCAAAGCTTAGGCTTGACACTGTGTGTTGCATTGACAGCACACGCGAACAAAGTAAATAAATTATTATTAGTAAAAATCATTCAGGCGATCTGATTGCCAGTATTGAGTGAAAACCTCGGCTTTTGAATCAAAGTCTGCATTATTCTGTTGTAAAATCTTCCGGTGAAGCGCATGCCGAGTCACTGACCCATACAGAAAAACTGACTCAACATTGGTGATGAAAATCAAAATTGTGTTCATTATGCTGAGTGAAGAATATCTCCAAACTGATCTCAGAATCATGGACGTCTGTCTCAAAGCCTCTGATCCTGACTGGTTTTAAAATCCTCATCCATGGTGGTGTCTGTATTTGAAACCAAACTGTCTGGCTGGATAAGTGAATGCAGTGACCTCTTCCGAATTTCCCCCTCTCATGATGATTGGTGTTGGCTGTTGTTGTTGTTACTGGTGGTGGTTGGTTTTTGTTAAGTTATCTTCAAGATATCCATCTTCTCTGTGTTCATTCGAAGTCCTGTCTTCGCTTCCTACCACTTCTCACAAATTGTTGACTACTGACTGTGACTGTCAGTTAACTAGCGTATTACTTGACATCTCATTTCTCATTGACTTTGATTTAGTTTACTACTAAGTGAGAGTAGACAGCGACGTCTTTTGTCAAATAGCCTTGTATATATAAACACTCACAAATTCAGTGACTATCGGACATATTGTCAAGATCATGAATAAGCACAGGACATAACATGGTAACAGAATTCAACACAATGCATTTATCATTTACACTGAATATCTTTGAAGCAACAATGCCAACACCAACAACAGCAAAACTGCGTCGACTAACCTGCTGTGACAAACAGATCCTTTCTAGCCTTCCATACATCGCCAAGAGAGTTAACGAAGGTTGAAAAGACTGAAAATCATTAGTAGAATACAGTGTTAGACCCATCATCTTCTTCAGAAACACGAATTCTTATTTACATGTTATCTTAGTTTGCTTTAGTTCGATCACCAACTTTCCTGTCGATTGATTGGGCAGAGACGTTTGACGTCTGTTGCTCTGTTGGCTCCTAGAAGACACTGTGTGACGAAGTCTGTGGATTAAGTTGGAGTGATTCGGTGGGTGTTGACAGGCGGTGGAATCCATAAATCTTGTGTTATTCAGAACTCGTAAGTGGGACATACGTGCTTGCCCCAGTGGGTGATAATCTTCCCACAGAGGTTGAATATTTCAGTCCAGTCAGTCAACAGGGAAATCAAGGTTCACTCAGAACAAACAATAGGTGATGCTTGCTGCAGAAGAGGTGGCTCTGTCACGTGGCCGAAGTGGTATAGTGGATGATACCGTGATGTTTGAAATGATGGCCACGGGTTTCTTATGTCAGTGAAAACACTATGTCAGCTGGAGAATGCACGCACTCCAAAATGAAGGATCTCAGATTGCTCAAAATATGCATCGTGGTTTCCACAGCTAGTCACCACCCAACGAATCACTTCACATCTCACTTATTCACAGTCGGAATATGAATGTGTGATGTTCGATGTTCGATGGTGTTTATGAATAACTCCTGCTATCACCATTTGGTTTGGGATTGTTGATCGACTGGTCATGCCTCAGCTCTAATGAATCAGTAGATAGATTCAGAGTAAATAGGTGACATGATTCTGCTTGGCAGAGATGACTGAGAACTCAATTTCTCTAGACGTCTTTACAAAGGAGTTGAGTATACTATGTATGGGATTTCTAGCTTGGAATGATTTTGTTGGGTTGATTCGCTTTGAAATCTACTCTGAGAAAATGCATTGAAGTAGTTGGACGCATTGATGATTCAACACGAATCTTGTTCGGGATCTTTCGATCTACATCGTCTGTGGCACCAGTTGATTGTTCAGATACCTGTTGAATAGCTAGTGTGAAAACCAGTAGTCAAGGTTGACTAATTTTTATCATGTGTGTGGATTGTCAGGTGGATGAATGCATTTAGAGTAAGGATGTCCCTAATATATTCTCCAGAAGCATAGATTAAGTGATTCTGAAATATAATGCATGGCGGAGAGTGGTGAATATATTATGTTGACGGCCAACACAATATAATTGTGCGAAAGAGTGGCGAGGTATAGAAGGGAATCGACATTTGGTCTTCCTATTAATAAAATAGATACTTACAAAGAAAAAAGCTTCCAAATAGAGACCACAAGTTACCTGTAGTTAAATTAAGTTTGTAGTCCAATTCGATATCAAAATTATCAAAGATATCTTCAGGGTCTAAAAAATATAAAAAAGTTGTTGAAAAAATGTATGAAAAAGAGTGCCTTAAACCGGCCAACTCTGATCATATTTATCTATCCCTGATCTATCTATCTATCTATCTATCTATTTTTCAATCTGTGTTCTTCGCTCTAGGTGCAACTTTCTATTATTTGTATGTGTCATGATATTTTTATTCATCCATCCATATAAATAACTACATATGTATAATAAACTCACTGTAGTCTCTCTTTTCGTCTTCGTAGTACTCTGTATAGCAGATAAATGCAGACACACTCTTCAGTAACTAAGCGCATTTAACACATTCACGTTTCAGTGAATGCATAGATATCCAGTGCTTTACTTAATATTGGAGGCACAATATGAAATGAAATGGGGGAATCATCACTTCTGAATAGGCAATGGGCAAGTGACAATAGAATTTCCACTAGAACACACAAGACGTTTGTGTACAACGAATAATTTTCAAAAGTTAGTGTGTAGTGAAAAGGTGGGTTTCAAATTCGATAACAGAGTGTTAACAGTTACAGGAGTGTTTGTAAATACTGCTGTCTGTACTGTTGTTGTCTCATTGCTTGTCACTACTCAGGAATTATAGTCACAATAACCTTAAGCATAATAACGAGCACCCTATTTCAAGCAGTAGGTCCACTAAAACAACGTGGAATTTTCAGCACGTGATACAATAATTGCATGTAATGTCTACTCGACACTGCATAAGGTGAAGTAATTAACAGTACACTCTCATTGATGATATTGTCGATGAGGAATTCGAATATAAAGTCTTAATTAAGCGAAATTACTGACAACAATGCAGTAACAGTGAGAGAAGGAATCAAAAGGGGCATCGGTAGGCTGATTTGCGCAGTAAATTAGTAGTGTCATGTCCTACACTTTCCCATCACATAAAATGTGTTCTGGCCAAGCAAGGCGTGGCCAGGTTTTTCACTCATTCATCGGAGCATAGATTTATCTACGGTTGCTTCTATTCCTACCTGATGAAGTGGAACAGGAGAGTTGCGTTTATAGAGTCAGCTTAGATTCCGACAGGATAATTATCACTGACTTCTTGTGTGAAATCTCGTGTCATTCTACAACAGTATCCCAATCGCCCTCACAACAGTTTTAACTATACTTCGAAATGTAACGAAGTCTCTCTTAAGTAGCGTGGGAGAGATTGAGGGAGAGAAGTGAAGCAGCATGAATGGAGAGACTGAATGATGAATAGTTATAAGCTTCGTATTGCGGTATATATATATCTCGAAAAATACCCATTTATTCATAAGTAAAAACACAGTTTTTGTTCAGCGAAGAAATTTCTTTTCAACGACTTCATTTTCAAGCTGTACAGTCGTATTTATATTACAGAAAAAGGTTATTAAGTGGCACTAAATAATTGCTCAGTCAATGTACGTATGTGTGATAAAAGTTATAAGGGGTAGAGTTGAAGTGGATAAATTACAAAAATATTAAAGATTGTATTATAACAAAAATGGTACTAAATAATTGATCAGTCAATGAACGTATATATGTGATAAAAGTTATAAGGGGTAGAGTTGAAGTGGATAAATTACAAACATATGAAAGATTGTTCTATAACAAAAATGTCAAGAGTTGTCTAAAAAATTATGAAAATTAGGAGTACGATTACGATAAGAATGAAGATGTGAAGTGAAGTGGAAAGAATTCAAGTGGTAAAATAAAATAAAAACTAGAAAGAAAATTATTATGACCAAGGTAAAGAAAGGGGTTTGACAAAACGCTTTTGAACACATAATATAGGTTTCTGTTCATGTATAGCTAAAGCTTCGGCTATGCATAAGTGCAGAAAACGTAAACTTTTGGATCGATTGGATTTTGCCATGTATATAACTTTGAAAGATGAATCACGTGGTGCTGAATGACCAGACTCTAACAGCCCCACGTGATTCATCTTTCAAAGTTATATACATGGCAAAATCCAATCGATCCAAAAGTTTACGTTTTCTGCACTTATGCATAGCCGAAGCTTTAGCTATACATGAACAGAAACCTATATTATGTGTTCAAAAGCGTTTTGTCAAACCCCTTTCTTTACCTTGGTCATAATAATTTTCTTTCTAGTTTTTATTTTATTTTACCACTTGAATTCTTTCCACTTCACTTCACATCTTCATTCTTATCGTAATCGTACTCCTAATTTTCATAATTTTTTAGACAACTCTTGACATTTTTGTTATAGAACAATCTTTCATATGTTTGTAATTTATCCACTTCAACTCTACCCCTTATAACTTTTATCACATATATACGTACATTGACTGAGCAATTATTTAGTGCCACTTAATAACCTTTTTCTGTAATATAAATACGACTGTACAGCTTGAAAATGAAGTCGTTGAAAAGAAATTTCTTCGCTGAACAAAAACTATGTTTTTACTTATGTATATATATATATATATATATATATATAACTGCAGACAGTTAATTTTGTTGGATTTGGAACGAAAGATTGTACTCATAATCTCATGATTTATCACTTATTATATTGGAGCATGACTCAAAACAAGTCACCATCAAGAAGGATGCTTTTTCTTGAGTTCAGGGGAAGTTAGACAATCCACAGATCTTAAAATACTTCAAAAAGTTCGCAAGAGCAAGTAATACGAGTGGAGTAGTGCGAGCGCTTTAAACCATTCGCCAGAGATCTGATGGAGATGATTGTATCTCAGCTGAATGACTGAGTTGGCAACCATCTCATCTCGCGACCTGAAGCCGTATTGGTTCATTGACAGTCACTGTTGAACAAAGCAACAAAACAGCTCTCTAGTCCTCTTAGATGGTTTCCAATAATCCCCACGCAAGAATCATTCACTTGGTGATCAGTGTTGAGAAGTAGTTTGACTGTGCCTGAATACCGACTTCGGAAATCATTCTTTGCATGGGGTTGTCGTGTCAATGCATCCACTTGTTAGTATAAAATATCAATGTCATCCAGTCTTCTTCACATCATAAGCAGTTATTCTGAACAAAATAAATCATACTCATATATTTTGTATGCAGATTAGATAATCCGTCCACATTCTTCCAGGTAGAGTCGCCTTTCAGTGCTGAAATCAGTGAAAATATAATTCATGAATCATGTGAATACAAAGTAAAGTGATGGGGTGTAGGTGGAGAGATATGTGTATGTGATTGTCACAGTGTGAGAAACAATTACTGATTAAGGCAGATAATAACGTTCAATTGAATTAGCGATTTGCAAATTATTTCGTAGTTTCCACAAGATTTAGGTGGTTATTTCCGCATATTGCCATTCCGTTTATGGAAATTATTCATTGTGATATGACTCTGCTGATTTCCGTGAAACTAGGAGTATGAAGTGTCATGCATCTAGGCGGGTTCCTGTGATAAACATATATGATATCAAGCAGCCTACACTTAAATGTGCTGGTGGGAATGATTCCCGTTTCCGAAGGTAGCTGAGTAGTGAAATTTCACCTCCTCGAACTGAATAAATTGCAAGTTTGATTTGATATATATCACCAGATCGCCCAACAAGCCAGCTAAAATTCGGGTGGTTTGAGCTGAGTCAAACTGGTCAGACCGCTGCTGAGCTTGGTGCCAGAAGGGAAGAAATGGCCATGCAGTGGTGTTCAGATCACTGTGATTTGGCCGACTAACAAAGACTGCTGTTTAATAATGGAAGTGATCTACAAGTACTCATTACAGTCAAACATCATTATCTCAATTAACACGAATGAATGCTGTATTATGCTTATAATTTGTTGACATTCATCACTGGTACTCACTGTTCAAATAATCCAACACAGTGTTAGCATAAATGTAATCCTTGGTGTCAGAAATAGCTGGAAGACAGAAAAATGACATTAGCAACGCCAATATGAAAGTAGTCTCAGTAAATGTGTTAAAGCTGCACGCTTAGGTGAGAGCATGTAATTCCAAAAATTGTGCGTCACACACATAATGACACAGTATCATTCTATGGATAACTGAGGTTTGGAGACAATTTCTGATTTTTCAGAATCATGTCGGTGGGATAGAAATTCAACCAAAAACACAAAATAACGCATTAATTGTGAGTCTCTTTTTCCCAGTTCATACTGAATTCATGGACTAACTGATGATTCAGGTTCCAGTGTATGAACGTTCAACAAAAGCTCTCCTAATCAGGAGTTACCAAGTTCGCATCTCACTGATTTACATACTGCCGATTACTCCAAAACTAGCACCTAGCAGTGAGTTGTATAGTACTGACTGGCAGTTTTCAGTGTTTCTCCAACTGATATCAATTCGTGGTCAAACTAGAAATAAACAATTGTATACCCAACTTAGTCGTCCAGCAAATATTAGTGTTTCACTCTGTGGTATGCGATGGTGGTTTGGCAGAAGCATACTTGGTAACCAATAGAATGTGATTCGGTGTTTGGATCACGACCATCGAAAAAATAGATCTGGGAAACAGAATAGGTTGGACGTGAGTGAGATGATTATTTCGGTGGGGATTTCGAACATCGGACAGATAGGTTGAATAACCTGCACAGCGAATGTAGAAGGCATGGAATGGAGACAATGTAAGCGGAATGCGAACCACTTTCAAAAATTGAAACTTAAGTGTAGGGTTTCTGTATTTTGTTATGAATCAGTGTAAGTCAGTTTGCAAAATTTCCAGAGAATGTGTCCAGCGAAGAGGCTAGCCCAGAAGAAATCATTTTCTCCATCAGCTGTACAATCGCATTCCTACACACCTTTTCATGAAAGTGTCTAGTGTGAATCAGTGTTTACTTGGCTACAGTGGATCTATGAGGACTGTGACAGTTGAACACTTGGTCGAACAGTCGTCATTCTGGCTCAGCAAATTCCGCCTTCAAAGTGATTTTCAATTTCGTCTTCTCTACCATTATCTGACGTTCTAGCTATTCAGACAGAGAATCCGAAGCTATGCATTCAAAAGCAAATAATTATTCAACCACTTCTGCCTGTGTGCTAACAACCTTGTTTGTTCGTTCGTTTGATTTTTCCAGCCTTTTTATCGCCTGTTTTCCCTACGAAATCTCACGCAAAACCGCATTCACCTTTGTTGCTATCTGACATATTTATTGGAAGGAAATTTGTACATATATGTGATGATCGTACAGCTAAAGAGGAGAATGAAATCGCGGAAGCAGAGGCTTTTCGCGGAGCCGAGTGTTCTCCACTCCCGTCTGAATGGAGATTATTCATGAATTGAATAACCAGTCTTGCGACAAAATACCTATGTGTTCTATCATTACAGTGGTAACATTTCTTCGATTTCTTTCACTGGTAACTTGCAGCGGAAGCGCCGTGAATTGAAGTAGAAAGTTTCAAGATAAGGATTGTAGGGAGTTGATTTGTTTCAAGCTCGTTCACAGATTGATGTTGGTGAGAGACTGATAGGAAAGCAGCCAGAAGCAGCAAGCTAGACATCTGTTTTGTTATAGTTTGAGTCTCATTGGCAGTACGCACTTACCGGATTTCATACTGAAAACCTTCCAGTTGCAGACTGAGTCGTCAAATCTCAGACTGGGGGGAACCTATTGACAGGTACTTCCAGGTGCTTTTCACTTACCGACATCAATTCATGATCAAACTTAGGACGATTACTGACTTGCCTACCTCAAGACATTTCTCAGTGTAATGTATCCTTCATTCTACTCTCCGATGTCTTGCTGTCACTAGACATGCATCAGTAGGTTTCCATTGAATAATAGATAACTGTTATTATGACCATTATTAGTAAGACTGAATTAAGCTCGAATATCTCACCATCGTTAAACTCGTCCACAGTCCAATTGATTTCCGGTGATTTGACTGCTAAGAATGCCACGCCTGTAAAACAGATAAAAACATTCAAATATTTCACGAGTAATCACTCCAACGGAATAATTGTTTGTGAAATCCCTCCTGAATCATCAAGCTACAGTATTCACACTTATTTGAACGTCTTCACTGACTTTGTAATGACTATCCGTTTTTCTCCCAAACTACAATATCATATGTTCACTCGATGAGTATTACTTGTATTCGTCCCTGTTGGACTTGCAATTTTAGTGCTTCTCTTGATAAACTTTTCTATATGATGAGCTTTTGTTCGAGTTACTTAAGGTCACTGTGATTTTTGAATATCTATAGGAATTGTTTGGTGAGTGACAGGGCTTACTGACACAGCCTTGATTTCACATTGTTCAGAATGTTCTACTTGATTGAAGGTGTTTGTTTTGTGGTAGGGAAGTTACATTGACACTGTTGAGGAGATTCGTAGTTTTCGAAAATACTAATGTTGACTAAAACCACACACAGGACTGTCGAGGAACAATCGTCTTTTGCTGTCTCTGGAAAGTTTTGTGACTTTGCTTCTCTCAAGGAAGTTTCGGATAGCTGTACAGTAGGACGCAAAGATCGTTTCACTGCGTTCAGACCAAAACTCATTCAGTTTTGATGGTTGAAAATTACACCGAGTTAACGATAAGATTGATAGACATGTGTTGGTGACGTTTTGAGATTATGTGCATATAATGTAAGCGGTTTCATTGTAGTAGCGGAAGAATGCTCGTCGACCAGGCAGGTCGTCCTGCGTTCAATCCATGGCCGACGCACTCCTTTACGTTGCTAAGTCAGTATTAAGTCTGGTACCACTACTACGGAAACTTCAAGCCTCTAGCTTGATGCCCCATGTTTCTTGTTGAAACGTTAAAGAATAAAGATGATGTTAAAGGCGATTCGGCGTTATATATGGCAAATAAGCAGGTGTTAGAGTTTCATGACCAGCCAGTGAATTCCGTAGCAATAAGTGCATTATTAATGGGTTCGCCTTCTAACAAGTCAGCCTTCACTTCAATCTCTGTGTAGGTGGTCGGGTGTGATATAGATGTCGAGTACTCCACGGACTGTTTAATGTTTCACCAGCTGATATCAATCAACGATGAAAATTAAAACCAAATAATTCCCTACTAACCAATACGTGGTCAAGCTACAATTAGCTTTACTCACATTCAGCAGTCTTGTAATGGCCATAGAGTTCACTGTAATTCTTGATCAGCTTCTCCAAGTGATCTGGAATGTAGAGAAGAAGTAAACACAATGTGGGGAATGTTAGGAATAGTATTTTCAGTTGATAAATATGAATACTGGTAATAACGTGTTTCTCCTCCTTGCTTTGGAAGATCTCATTGAAGAGTTAGATAGTCAAGCCACTTGTCAAGTGAAAAAATTGTCACTTTCAAACTCTAGCTGAAACGAGGAAGTGGTTAGAACATGTGTTTAGTAAGATCCAGCCGTTCTATAGGATGTGACTGGCTCTTCCTCATACAGTCGGATCTGTAGCCACGCTCAATTAAGAGATGCAACTTGTCTTTAGAAGTCTTTTATCCGGCCTCTTTCATTGCCATGAACTCAGATTCAATTTTTTTCCTCCCGACCTGTTGTAAAGTGCGCTCTGCATATTATTTATTTATTATAGTTCCGCTGAATTCTGAGGGGAACATAGCGCTTCAGGAAAACCATCTCCACTTTCTCTTCTTCTTTGTAGTATTCTTCAGCTGGTCCGACAATCGCACATAGGCTGTCACCTCCTCTTCTGAGGATCTAACCTATATCACCGTCAGACTTCACAGTCACTGTCCCCTAGTCAGTTTCCACTTGTCATGCCTGTAGTGCGATATCATTCGCTGACGTTCTCAGTCTGAGCCTGACCCATCTCCATTCTCTTAGTAATATTTGCTGATCGACAGTGTGGTCAACTGATTCGTCCTCAGACTTATTTGTTGCTGATTACTTCTAGTCATCTTTCTTAGATTCAGTATGCAGCGAAAATTCAGGAGTTTGACAGAGGTCTGGAGTAATCGCTTGGAAAGTCTTCCGATGAACTGCATGCTAAGTCACTGACCCATACAGAAAATCTGACTCAACATTGGTGATGAAAATCAAAATTGTGTTCATTATGCTGAGTGAAGAATATCTCCAAACTGATCTCAGAATCATGGACGTCTGTCTCAAAGCCTCTGATC